AACCCCGGGTCTCTACTGTACTGTATGTCCAGTGATGACATCTAACCCCGGGTCTCTACTGAACCGGTGTGTCCAGTGATGACATCTAACCCTTTGTCTCTACTGTACTGTATGTCCAGTGATGACATCTAACCCCGTGTCTCTACTGTAACTGTATGTCCAGTGATGACATCTAACCCTGTGTCTCTACTGAACTGTGTGTCCAGTGATGACATCTAACCCCGGGTCTCTACTGAACTGTGCGTGTCCAGTGATGACATCTAACCCCGTGTCTCCACTGTACTGTAGTGTCCAGTGATGACATCTAACCCCGTGTCTCTACTGTACTGTATGTCCAGTGATGACATCTAACCGATGTCTCTACTGAACTGTGTGTCCAGTGACGACATCTATCACCGGGTCTCTACTGAACTGTGTGTCCAGTGATGACATCTAACCCTTTGTCTCTACTGTACTGTATGTCCAGTGATGACATCTAACCCCGTGTCTCTACTGAACCGTGTGTCCAGTGATGACATCTAACCCCGTGTCTCCACTGTACTGTATGTCCAGTGATGACATCTAACCCCATGTCTCTACTGTACTGTATGTCCAGTGATGACATCTAACCCCGTGTCTCTACTGAACTGTGTGTCCAGTGATGACATCTAACCCCATGTCTCTACTGTACTGTATGTCCAGTGATGACATCTAACCCCGTGTCTCTACTGAACTGTGTGTCCAGTGACGACATCTAACCCCGGGTCTCTACTGTACTGTGTGTCCAGTGATGACATCTAACCCCGTGTCTCTACTGTACTGTATGTCCAGTGATGACATCTAACCCCGTGTCTCTACTGTACTGTATGTCCAGTGATGACATCTAACCCCGTGTCTCTACTGAACTGTGTGTCCAGTGATGACATCTATCCTGTGTCTCTACTGTGCTGTACGGTGGTGTCCAGTGATGACATCTAACCCCGTGTCTCTACTGTAATGTATGTCCAGTGATGACATCTAACCCCGTGTCTCTACTGAACCGTGTGTCCAGTGATGACATCTAACCCCGGGTCTCCACTGAACTGTGTGTCCAGTGACGACATCTAAGCCGGCGTCTTCACTGAACTGTGTGTCCAGTGATGACATCTAACCCTGTGTCTCTACTGTACTGTAGGTCCAGTGATGACATCTGACCCCGTGTCTCTACTGTACTGTATGTCCAGTGATGACATCTAACCCCGGTGTCTCTACTGAACTGTGTGTCAGTGATGACATCTAACCCCGGGTCTCTACTGTACTGTATGTCCAGTGATGACATCTAACCCCGTGTCTCTACTGAACTGTATGTCCAGTGATGACATCTAACCCCGTGTCTCTACTGTACTGTATGTCCTGTGATGACATCTAACCCCGTGTCTCTACTGTACTGTGTGTCCAGTGATGACATCTAACCCTGTGTCTCTACTGTACTGTATGTCCAGTGATGACATCTAACCCCTTGTCTCTACTGTACTGTATGTCCAGTGATGACATCTAACCCCGTGTCTCTACTGTACTGTGTGTCCAGTGACGACATCTAACCCCGGGTCTCTACTGTACTGTATGTCCAGTGACGACATCTAACCCCGTGTCTCTATTGTACTGTATGTCCAGTGGTGACATCTAACCCCTTGTCTCTACTGAACTGTGTGTCCAGTGATGACATCTAACCCTGGTCTCTACTGAACTGTGTGTCCAGTGATGACATCTAACCCCATGTCTCTACTGTACTGTATGTCCAGTGATGACATCTAACCCCGTGTCTCTACTGTACTGTGTGTCCAGTGATGACATCTAGCCCTGTGTCTCTACTGTACTGTATGTCCAGTGATTATATCTCACCCCGTGTCTCTACTGTACTGTATGTCCAGTGATGACATCTAACCCCGGGTCTCTACTGAACTGTGTGTCCAGTGACGACATCTAACCCCGGGTCTCTACTGAACTGTGTGTCCAGTGACGACATCTAACCCCGTGTCTCTACTGAACTGTGTGTCCAGTGATGACATCTAACCCCGTGTCTCTACTGTAATGTATGTCCAGTGATGACATCTAACCCTGTGTCTCTACTGAACTGTGTGTCCAGTGATGACATCTAACCCTGTGTCTCTACTGTACTGTATGTCCAGTGATGACATCTAACCCCGTGTCTCTACTGAACCATGTGTCCAGTGATGACATCTAACCCCGTGTCTCCACTGAACTGTGTGTCCAGTGATGACATCTAACCCCGGGTCTCTTCTGTACTGTATGTCCAGTGATGACATCTAACCCCGGGTCTCTACTGAACTGTGTGTCCAGTGACGACATCTAACCCCGGGTCTCTACTGTACTGTATGTCCAGTGATGACATCTAACCCCGGGTCTCTACTGAACCGTGTGTGTCCAGTGATGACATCTAACCCGTGTCTCCACTGAACTGTGTGTCCAGTGATGACATCTAACCCCGGGTCTCTACTGTACTGTATGTCCAGTGATGACATCTAACCCCGGGTCTCTACTGTACTGTGTGTCCAGTGATGACATCTAACCCTGTGTCTCTACTGTACTGTATGTCCAGTGATGACATCTAACCCCGTGTCTCTACTGTACTGTATGTCCAGTGATGACATCTAACCCCGTGTCTCTACTGTACTGTGTGTCCAGTGACGACATCTAACCCCGGGTCTCTACTGTACTGTATGTCCAGTGACGACATCTAACCCCGTGTCTGTATTGTACTGTATGTCCAGTGATGACATCTAACTTGTCCTACTGAACTGTGTGTCAGTGATGACATCTAACTGTCTCTTCTGTACTGTATGTCCAGTGATGACATCTAACCCTGGTCTCTACTGAACTGTGTGTCCAGTGACGACATCTAACCCCGTGTCTCTACTGAACTGTGTGTCCAGTGATGACATCTAACCCCGTGTCTCTACTGTACTGTAGGTCCAGTGATGACATCTAACCCCGGTGTCTCTACTGTACTGTATGTCCAGTGATGACATCTAACCCGGGTCTCTACTGAACCCAGTGATGATATCTCTAATGTCTCTACTGTACTGTATGTCCAGTGATGACATCTAACCCCGTGTCTCTACTGTACTGTATGTCCAGTGATCTGACTGTCTAACCCCAGTGATGACATCTACTGTCTCTACTGAACTGTGTGTCCAGTGATGACATCTAACCCCGTGTCTCTACTGTACTGTATGTCCAGTGATGACATCTAACCCTGTGTCTCTACTGTACTGTATGTCCAGTGATGACATCTAACCCCGTGTCTCTACTGTACTGTGTGTCCAGTGATGACATCTAGCCCTGTGTCTCTACTGTACTGTATGTCCAGTGATGATATCTAACCCCGTGTCTCTACTGTACTGTATGTCCAGTGATGACATCTAACCCCTTGTCTCTACTGAACTGTGTGTCCAGTGATGACATCTAACCCTGGTCTCTACTGAACTGTGTGTCCAGTGATGACATCTAACCCTGTGTCTCTACTGTACTGTATGTCCAGTGATGACATCTAACCCCGTGTCTCTACTGTACTGTATGTCCAGTGATGACATCGAACCCCGTGTCTCTACTGAACTGTGTGTCCAGTGATGACATCTAACCCCGTGTCTCTACTGAACTGTGTGTCCAGTGATGACATCTAAACCTGTGTCTCTACTGTACTGTATGTCCAGTGATGACATCTAACCCCATGTCTCTACTGTACTGTATGTCCAGTTATGACATCTAACCCCGTGTCTCTACTGAACTGTGTGTCCAATGACGACATCTAACCCCGGGTCTCTACTGTACTGTTTGTCCAGTGATGACATCTAACCAGTCACATTTAGCAGTTTTGATATGAAGATATTGTGATGATATTCTGTTTATTTGCCTTACGGGAACACTCATTCAAATATTTTCCCAAACATGCAATATATCTTGTAGCATTGTGATGAGGGGTATACAGGGTTTTATAGCCGGAGGCGAGGTGGATAACACCTAACGAAGGACGCATAAAACCTTGTATACCCCGAATCATAATGCAACAACGAATTTATGTTACCGAATGGTTAAATCTCTCATTATGTAAATATAACATGAAAACAAACTGAAATTCAATCATATATTCAACTGCTCGATCCGAACCACTGGTTCACGGGTCACTGACTGCCGTGGATGCATGTTTTTTCCATGGGGCGGGGTATAAATGATTTATTCTCCCACGCAAAGATTTTTCCCCCGCTTGGGCGGTGTCCGGCCGTGCACCGGGGATACATGGTAATTTGTTCAAGGTCACCTTGAACCAATCAGCGATGGACATTCTCACATGAGGTAGGATAAACTTATTTGTAATACATGTATTTATTAAAACACAACTGTTACATAAAAAAATACACAACCAAGCAAACACGATTCCGCGGTCATGGCCTATAAGCAAGGCAACACCAAGTGTAGACGTCCCTGCTGCTGGTGGTGGTGGTAGTGGGTGGTGGTGGTGTGGCTGTGGGGGGCTGTGGTTTGTGCAGGGGCATGTATGTGATGCATGTTACCAGGCGGTCTGACAATTCCTCACATCTACGCTTACGTTATTACGTCGAGGCTGGCAGCAGGTAGATTTCATATATAGTTGGATGCACTTGTACAGTGTTGTGTGTGAGTATTCATTTGCACTGGTACTCGTGAAGGTCTGGGTTTGAATGAACCTCCAGTAACCCATGCTTGTCGTAAGAGGCGACTAACGGGATCTGGTGGTCAGGCTCGCTGGTTTGGTTGACACATGTCATCGGTTCCCAATTGCGCAGATCGATGCTCATGCTGTTGATCACTGAATTGTCTGGTCCAGACTCGATTATTTACAGACCACCGCCATATAGCTGGAATATTGTTGAGTGCGGCGTAAAACTAAACTCACTCACTCACTCATTTGCACTGGTGTTTACAGATGGACCGTATCATGCCAAGTGCGACGGGATGTAGATAAGCAATATAAAAGTGTCCTCCTACACCGAGTACAAGAGACCTGCAACATACAGAACATGGTCTTGTACAGAACTACAACATACAGAACATGGTCTTGTCCAGATCTACAACATACAGAACATGGTATTGTACAGATCTACAAAATACAGAACATGGTCTTGAACACAACTACAACATACAGAAAAATGTCTTGTACAAATCTACAACATACAGAACATGGTCTTGAACAGAGCTACAACATACAGAACATGGTCTTTAACACATATACAACATACAGAACATGATCTTGTACAAATCTACAACATAAAGAACATGGTCTTGTACAGAGCTACAACATACAGAACATGGTCTTGTACAGAGCTACAACATACAGAAAATGGTCTTGTACAGAGCTACAACATACAGAACATGGTCTTGTACAGAGCTACAACATACAGAACATGTTTTTGTACAGAACAACAACACCACCTGACTGAAGCTGACAGATCTTACTTTCATCGTCCCTGATGGGTGTCACTCTCTCCACCAAATGACGGATGCTGTTTTCACAAACAATCCATTACGTTTCAAATAGCAAGGGAGATTAGATGCTGTTATCGCTTGAATACATAATATACACATAGAACTTAGTGAAGCACCCCCTGACATATCTCATGATTGAAGGAGCCCTCATCTTAACCCTTATGAGCATATCTGGGAAATGAGTGGTGTGCAACAAAGGGATCCTCCTGTTCTGAACCTGGCCCAATTGGAAGCTGCTTTACACGAGGAATGGCGTAGACTGCCCCTTCAGAGGACCAGGAGGCTGACAGGGGGTATGAGGAGGAGAGTGCTGGCTGTCATACAGTCACATGGAGGTTACACTCGGTATTGACCTTGGATCGTGTTTGACGCGCAAAATGACATTTTTGAATGTTCACATTCACCAATAAATTCAATATTAAACATTCCAGGACCATACTTCCAACATCTCTTCCAACATCTCTTTACCTAGCTGTGTTTTCAAATACCCTGTTTTAACAAAAGTATATAATTATGGTTTTGAGCTATGTTGTTAACGAACTGACGATTATATGGATTTATCTTACCTGCGAAACATGCCGTCATGAAGCAAGCTAGGTTTGCTGAAAACATCGACAACACTATTTTCTTGGTAACGAATTTCTGTTTCCTTGGCACAATGGTGTAGAAAACAGCCAGGCATATCCCGATTGATACAAAGTTGGACAAGCCGCACAAGGCGTATGTTGATATAGCCTCGGATTTCTCCTTAAAAGAAACAGACATCTGCTTAGAAAAGATTTTAATTCTTGCTGCTTTATCAATAACATGTTTTAATATCGGTTGTTAAGAGCATTAACAAAAGGCATTTCCATCAGAAAGTGTATCCACAAACACACTTTATAAAGCAATCTGATATTCTCTGATCTTTTCCCAATTTAAATAGCGCAGAAATAGTGTTTATACCTGGCTCTTCACGAGAAATATTAAGTCTTCTATTGACTACCTGTCTGAATGAAACAAAACAATGGCGATAACCTATAATTTAATAAATGATAACTTCCGGTGCTTTGTTTTCGATGTGTTTCCAATGATTTGTTTACGTACTGTGATGTAACCATACTGCAGGGTTTTGTTCCAGCCATCTAAGTATAGGTCGTCTTGTATGTGTCGATATGTGCCTGTTCCATTTGTACTTTCCATGTAGTCCTGAAACACCTGTCTGTTGCCCGACATTGTGGCGAGCTGGTAGTAGGCCAGTGAAGCAGATCCCATGAGCTTGTACCCAACCAACTTGCCAATATTGCCACAGTCCTGAATGTCAGCACCCATGATGACGGCCAGCGGCCAGAATATGTAAGAACATATAAACTGAAAATACACATTTTACCGTTTGAGAATAGGGATTATATATCACTGACACACAGGATACAAAGAAAAAGTGAAGTTGTCACCATAGGCATAGTTGTAGTTATCGAGGGTCCCCTTAACAAGAAATTCTACCCTGTTAAAGGCGGCCTATCCTCTGTCATATTGGTAGGTCTAACAAACTTGTACCCAATATACTGTGTTTCTCGTCTAGCGGCATGATGTATATCAGTCCGACAATTAGAAACTGAATATGGGTACCATGACATGGCGCGTGGTCTCCTTTAAATTATGTTCTAGACCAGGATCTGTCACTTGGAATGTCTCCTATGAAGCATCACACTTATATCTTGCTCTGTTCAAATACTCTGTCGCCTCATGTCTTGCAGCACGAAACTCTGCCGCATCCTGTGCACACACACACACACACACACACACGCACGCACGCACGCACGCGCACACACACACACCACCACCACCAACAACAACAGCAACACAAGAAAAAAAACAAAAACAAAAACAACACACACAAAACAAGACACAAGCACGCACGAACACAAAACAACACACACACACACACACGCACGCACGCACGCACTGTTTTGGACTTAATCAGGCTCCTCTTGGTTTGTCTTAGGTGCAATGACAAATACTCATAACATAAATACAGGTACTTCGAAAGTGTGCACTTGACATGTTAACAAACCTCAAATGTGAGATCGTTGACGTTCACCCTGTCGCCGAACCAGCCGAGTGTCGAGTTGATGAGGGAGAGAAGGCCATAGAAGACGTACAGGTTGATGACGATGCTGCCAAATACGTGAATAGAGGACGTTGCCCCGATGGATGCCGCCTCGAAGATGCTTGTGTATCTTGCAAACACCAGCATAAAGAACATATACAACCAGCGTATGCGGTAACTTGCACATGTAATCACTTACAGTAATTTTAACGAAAGAAATACTGCCGGAAGCATTGTAAGTATAGATGGTGTCCCCGTATGGAGCAACTGTACCAGGTGTGGCTGTACAACATAGGTGTAAATAGTCATTTAGGAATCATTATCCAGGGGGAAATTAATGAATTAATCCCCCCTAAATATATAGTGTATATAGATATAGTAACCCCTAGAAGTTGTCAACAAAACCGCATCCATCGTTTGGCAGTCTGTAAGTATACCCAGACAAACGAGTGATTGATAGCATGAACAACGAGCCGTGTGATACGTGCCAAACGTGTCACAAATCCAGTTAGGTATCATATTGATGCCACCCGAAATCATATTGTAACTGTTCAGTTGTTTTGACAACTGTGGAGGTACATATAAACTATTCAAGGGACGTGCACCTCTTAAACCTGTATACAGGAGCACCTATACCTAGTGAACGCCCTTAACGACGATTAATATTGTTCCTATTAGAGTAACATGGATCACCAGTTAGGGTTGTTTCAATTACAGTGGGCATATATCAAAAGGTATCTATAGTATTAAATTAGATAGCTTGTTGATACGACTTTCGTAGCTGGTGATTCGATGACGTTCTCTCTATGGCGACCTGGCAGGTTTGTGAAGATAAGAAGTCGATTGTGAACAAATATACTGACAATAGCTGGTGGGGATGTTCACATGGCTATTCATCCTGTGGACCAACATCGTCTAGTGTTGTATACCTCAAGGTCTATATTATACAAGTTCATTTAATATGAGACGTAGTGTTTACAGCCATTCAACAACCAACTGTAACGTGATTGGATTAGTTCATTAAAAGAAGAAGGAAAATGAAAGTGTATATGCGCAACTTGCTCTACGGGAACATATTTTGCACTTGATTAAACAGATAGATTCAAATAATACCACCATTAGATGGTAAAATATTGAGGGTCTAGGGAACTTAGTATGGTTTCACACCGCTTTTAGCAATATTCCAGCAATATCAGGGCGGGGGACACCAGAAATTGGCTTCACATACTGTGCCCATGTTGGGAATAGAACCCGCGTCTTCGGCGTGACGAGAGAACCCTTTAACCACTAGGCTATCCCACCGCCTCAATGAGAGCGCGTCGTAAACATTTCAATAAGTTTCTATAAAATTGCTTTAACACGTGCCCAAAGTGAACCCAAATTCTATCTCCTCCTCCGTCCGCCCGTGATTTTATGAAACGATTTAATAAGCGCGTATTGTCACTGTTGATTTCTTCCAGGAGGTGTACTGAATTTAATAAGAGGTCCTCACTTTTTACTTCCCAGGTCGCATGTGTTTTTGTGGTTAATGGGTCGCGACTCTGGGTACAGCAACTTGGAGATGGCGATGGAGGCGGGTGCCGACATCACACACGCCGGGATCAGGTACGACACAGATATCTGGGAACACATGACATATCTTTCTAAAACTTTGATGACACATGTAAGGAAATGTTTTGATCGGTGATATTTTCAAAAGAGAAATTGCACTAACGACAAAATGCACAGCTGAGAAACACATCAGTGTCTTCATCCCTGAACAGTGCCGGAGGGTGAAGAAGAAATAACAGCAATCACCAACTATAAACTACAATGAAGTCCACCTTTGACTTCTCGCACACATGCATGCACGCTCGCACACGCAGCCGTAGTGACAGACTGTAAGTGTAGTACTCTACCCCGAAAGATGAGACAACCCCGATGAACGTTCCCGACACTGAGGCCTGCCCGGCTACCAGCACTGTGAAGATCTCCGACCTCGACATCAGCTCCATGTACGGCTTCATTGCCAGACCAGTGGACGGCTGAAACACACCATGAGAAATACTGAGACATAACGTCTCTGGGCGACTGACATAAACAGGTACAGTGGGTGAAACCCTGATGACATGTCTCGGTGAAACATACAGGTACAGTGATAACATGTCTCAGTCAAACATTGAGTTACAGTGATGACATGTCCCAGTCAAACATTGAGGTACAGTGATGAAATGTCTCAGTCAAACATTGAGGTACAGTGATGACATGTCTCAGTCAAACATTGAGGTACAGTGATGACATGTCCCAGTCAAACGTTGAGGTACAGTGATGACATGTCTCAAACATTGAGGTACAGTGATGACATGTCCCAGTCAAACATTGAGGTACAGTGATGACATGTCTCAGTCAAACATTGAGGTACAGTGATGGCATGCCTCAGTCAAACATTGAGGTACAGTGATGACATGTCTCAGTCAAACATTGAGGTACAGTGATGACATGTCTCAGTCAAACATTGAGGTACAGTGATGACATGTCTCAGTCAAACATTGAGGTACAGTGATGACATGTCTCAGTCAAACATTGAGGTACAGTGATGATATGTCTCAGTCAAACAATGAGGTACAGTGATGACAATTCTCAGTCAAACATTGAGGTACGGTGATGACATGCCTCAGTCGAACATTGAGGTACAGTGATGACATATCTGGATCAATGGTACATGACATGTCTGGGTCAAACATACAGGTACAGTGATGACATGTCTGGGTCAAACATACAGGTACAGTGATGACATGTCTGGGTCAAACATACATACAGGTACAGTGATGACATGTCTGGGTCAAACATACATACAGGTACAGTGATGACATGTCTGGGTCAAACATGGAGGTACAGTGATGACATGTCTGGTCAAACATACAGGTACAGTGATGACATGTCTGGGTCAAACATACAGGTACAGTGATGACATGTCTGGGTCAAACATACAGGTACAGTGATGACATGTCTGGGTCAAACATACAGGTACAGTGATGACATGTCTGGGTCAAACATACAGGTACAGTGATGACATGTCTGGGTCAAACATACAGGTACAGTGATGACATGTCTGGGTCAAACATACAGGTACAGTGATGACATGTCTGGGTCAAACACAGGTACAGTGTTGACATGTCTGGGTCAAACATACAGGTACAGTGATGACATGTCTGGGTCAAACAAACATACAGTGTTGACATGTACAGTGATGACATATCTGGGTCAAACAAACATACAGTGATGACATGTCTGGGTCAAACATACAGGTACAGTGATGACATGTCTGGGTCAAACATACAGGTACAGTGATGACATGTCTGGGTCAAACATACAGGTACAGTGATGACATGTCTGGGTCAAACATACAGGTACAGTGATGACATGTCTGGGTCAAACATACAGGTACAGTGATGACATGTCTGGGTCAAACATACAGGTACAGTGATGACATGTCTGGGTCAAACATACAGGTACAGTGATGGCATGTCTGGGTCAAACATACAGGTACAGTGATGGCATGTCTGGGTCAAACATACAGGTACAGTGATGGCATGTCTGGGTCAAACATACAGGTACAGTGATGGCATGTCTGGGTCAAACATACAGGTACAGTAATGCTACTGGTACTATTCATAATATAACAGGATTCATGTGTGTACTACGTCCATGCACGTTCTGCTAATACAACTGCCGTGTTTCTCCCTTGGGTTAACTCACGTAATCGATGAGTATGTTAGTGGCCACGCAGATGGACTCCCGGTCAGTGATGTCCAGTGACCATCTCAGGAAACGACCAATGACTTTGACAAACCACTGCATCGCTCCAATGTAGTACATTACGGCCACCAATGCGTTGATGAAGAAAATGCACGGGAATGACTGGAAATAGAAAAAGGATGCGAGGTGACGCAGTGTTACATCGTGTCCAAGATCAATGCACTGACAATTGCGTGCACGTGCGTATGGTATGTGTGTATGCATGTGTGCGTGCGTGCGTGCGTGCGTGCGTGCGTGTTTGCCTGTTTAATGCTGCCAGCCAACGGAGATGTTTTACAGATGACGCATATTCCATTACCCCAGAGCCGACAGTCCTAGTGTTGCCCGTCTAATGCTGAGCGAAAGAGAGAACAACACTCTTCATGATCTATTGGTTTGACACTTCAGAGGATCGAACAACTGATCCGGGCAAACGCACTTTCCACTGGACCACAAATTCGCTTAGAAGAGAAACAACCTTAATTGTCTTTTCTGTAATAGTTACCCTATAACAATAATACATGCTAGTTAAAGGTTGCTGGCTTAATGATTTACTCATACTTGTTCGTTCACATCACACACACGATGGTATAAACAGCAGTAGTTTACACTGTGGGCGATCATAGGTTAAATGATGTAACATCCAAACACATGCAATACCCACGCCAAATATCAGATTATGGTCTCTGTAGCTCTTCCCGAACATGAACTCTGAACCTTTCCTTGAATTCTTCAGCACATTGTTGACTCGCTCTGCCATCCAACTAACAGAACCAGAGCCAACCTCTGTACGCAGGATGAACAGGGCCAACATAAACTGAAGGGCAACCGACCAGAACACCGTGTGCCAGTTGACCTGAAGCACAAGAAGACACCATACACTAAGGTTGACCTGCAACACAAACACAGCTGAGGCACCAAGAACTTGGGTTGACCTGCAACATAAACACAGCTGGGACACCAAGAACTTGGGTTGACCTGCAACATAAACACAGCTGAGACACCAAGAACTTCGGTTGACCTGCAACATAAACACAGCTGAGACACCAAGAACTTGGGTTGACCTGCAACATAAACACAGCTGGGACACCAAGAACTTGGGTTGACCTGCAAAATAAACACAGCTGAGTCACCAAGAACTTCGGTTGACCTGCAAAACAAACACAGCTGAGGCACCAAGAACTTCGGTTGACCTACAACATAAACACAGCTGGGACACCAAGAACTTCGGTTGACCTGCAACATAAACACAGCTGAGACACCAAGAACTTCGGTTGACCTGCAACACAAACACAGCTGAGACACCAAGGACTTCGGTTGACCTGCAACATAAACACAGCTGAGACACCAAGAACTTCGGTCGACCTACAACATAAACACAGCTGAGACACCAAGAACTTCGGTTGACCTGCAACACAAACACAGCTGAGGCACCAAGAACTTCGGTTGACCTGCAACATAAACACAGCTTAGACACCAAGAACTTCGGTTGACCTGCAACATAAACACAGCTGAGTCACGAAGAACTTGGGTTGACCTGCAACACAAACACAGCTGAGACACCAAGAACTTGGGTTGACCTGCAACATAAACACAGCTGAGTCACCAAAAACTTCGGTTGACCTGCAAAACAAACACAGCTGAGACACCAAGAACTTCGGTTGACCTGCAACATAAACACAGCTGAGACACCAAGAACTTCGGTTGACCTGCAACATAAACACAGCTGAGACACCAAGAACTTCGGTTGACCTGCAACATAAACACAGCTGAGGCACCAAGAACTTCGGTTGACCTGCAACATAAACACAGCTGAGACACCAAGAACTTCGGTTGACCTGCAACATAAACACAGCTGAGTCACCAAGAACTTAGGTTGACCTGCAACATAAACACAGCTGAGACACCAAGAACTTAGGTTGACCTGCAACATAAACACAGCTGAGACACCAAGAACTTAGGTTGACCTGCAACATAAACACAGCTGAGACACCAAGAACTTAGGTTGACCTGCAACATAAACGCAACTAGAACACCATGGCACTTCAGCTCACTGCAACAAATGATAATATACTCTTGGGTCTCATGTTAAAGTACCTTAGCAGGCCGATTGGAGAGCAGGAATGCGACCACTATGAAGAAAGCCAGTCCCCCTACAGAGACGAGGTTCCGGGGTTCTTTCATGCCCACCTCCAGCACGAGGAACACAACGATCGACGCGCTGGTAGATACATACAACAGCCTGCAACATAGGAAGGTGTGAGTTGTATAACTGGTATAGGTGAGTTGCAATATGGGAACATGTGAGTAGGAAGGTTGGTACAAGAGCATTGAAACATGCTTACATGTAAGTTGAAACACTGGTACAGGTGGGTTGAAATTCAGAGTAGTTTTAAGTGAGTGAGTGTGTTTAGTTTTATGCCACACTTAGCAATATTCCAGCTTTATGGCTGTGGTTTGTAAATAATCGAGTCTGGACCAGACAATCCAGTGAGCAACAGCATGAGCATCGATCTACGCAATTGGGAACCGATGACATGTGTCAACCAAGTCAGCGAGCCTGACCACCCGATCCCGTTAGTCGCCTCTTACGACAAGCATGGGTAACTGAAGATCAGTATTCTAACCCGGATCTTCACGGGTCGTAAAACTACAGACTATAGTACTTTTAAGGGATTGAGCCCATACGGGATTCGAACCCACACACTCAGAGTCAGGACCCTATTCGCTACAACCCCAAAAAGTGCTAGAATCTGTACTTACTAAGAAAATGTAATCCCTACTAAATCGTATAGTAGGGATGATATGGCATTGTGTATATTCAAAATTAACTGTTTTCACTAGGAAGCTCGAGGTCCACGTCAACAGCTATATACGTTCATGGAAACTAAGACGCAAGTCAACTGTATAGTTATAAGTCTACCCATATGTACATATAGTGCATCTGCGTACATGTAGGGAAACCGAACTACAAATTAACAGCTACGAAAGGAAGCCATGTAAGGACTTGCACACTAGTTAAGTACTTTGAACTCCTGGAAGTCCTGTTAAACCAGCAGCACCGCCGACGGTAATTCTGATACTCTTCAGGGCATTGTGACTGAACGGTTATTTCTTTGAAAGGTTTAGAACAGCTAGTGACGGTTGACAATACTGCGTCCATTATCATTTGAAGGTTTTGATGTGCATGGAAAGATTAATCGTTCCGAGCTCACATGCACAATGCCAGCTGGTAAAACATATTTATTTATATCACAGAGAGGGATATATATGATATTGACACTCCATATAATCGACACAAACCAATCTGTCACTCCATTCGGTACTCTTAGATATGTTACACATTATAAATATACATATCGGTGGGACCACTAACCATCTTGCAATTCTCCTGGCCTTTGCGATCACTTTCTTATCATGGAATGTAAGCTTTCTCTCAGTCCAGTTGTATCTTGGGATGATGTTTTTCTCACAACTTTAGTGATGAGTAACACACCTCCAAACACAGTGAAGGCCAGGAGCCTGATAGAGCCTTCATCGCCAAACGTCAACACCATGGAAAAGACAAAATATATGAGATACAGAACCAGCAGTGAGCACTTGATGATAGTTCCACATCGTCCCTGAATACATGCTGGCACTGAGGACCGGAGGCAGGTCCGCAGAGATGAGGTCTTCCTGGAACAACAGTTGTCTTCCTCTTCGTCCTCGGCGTCACTGAAGTCATCATCGTCAACAACATTCATATTCTCGGTGCCATGTACCACGTCCTCCTCGACAGCCTTACACTCTTGCATTGTCTTCATGCTGATCACCACGGTGCTGTTGTTGTTGATGGCGGCCTACAACACAAGCAGGAGCCTGCTGCATCGACACTAGTGTACGGTACGACTACAAACGTTGTTTGTATAACAACAATGATAACTGTTATAACGCGCATCATATGTTATATCCGTTGTTCACCACCAACCATATCATTCATGTAGTGTGTAGAAAGTTAATTAGTCTACGCAAGCGCAAAATATTTACTCTTTTTCAGATTCCTGTCTTGTGTTACCTCCAATGGTTTTACAACCGAGGTAGTACTGACAATGGGGGTTGCTTTTCTTGAACTTAAAGAAAATCTTTCGAATTCATTGTTGCTTTGGAAACTTCATATATTGTAAATGTCGGTCATTGTTCATGGTTATTGGTTCGAATCCCAGCGCTATATGCATTCATCTCTGAAGACATTCCTCCAGTCCCACACTGCTGCACATACAATACATGTGTTGCCTCTCTGACCAACTGAATCTGTTCGAACTATGCCTCTGTTCAGCCAGCAGTGGGTGGAATCCAGGTAGAATGAGATGGTAATATGACCCTCCAGCACCTCAAACACAGCTTGGGTCGTATACTCGTATGGGGCTGAGAATTGCCGGCGTAATAAAGGGCTTTGAACGTGATATTCTACGTGGAAAAACGCCATACAAATAGACTGTTATCATTATGATATATCAAAACATTAATTCGCTTTGTAAAGTGGCGTAAGGTAGGAGTGCCAGAAACCTGTACTCACTCACTTTCTCGATATCATTTTCAATTAAACGAGGCTAAGGGAGCCTTGGTAAATTAGCAAGATATTTCATCGCAATAATGTGTTGTGGAGTCTGTTTTTCAAGTCCATGTAATTCCTACATATTTAATCCTGGACATGCCATGGTTCACATAACATCGACGCATCGATAAGATACGCGATATACATGTACCTGTATCGATTGGTGTTTTAGTCCCGTCTTGTTTCAAACACAGATCTATTCATTCATTTTCATTTTCAACAAAATAGCCGATAATCAAGTATAACGATATAGGTATCGCATCTGCAGATAGCCGGGTGATCCCATCCCTGCTGAATACATCAAACTTCCAGTAACCAACGCCCCGTAACCTACAGACTTTGCTCCTTCCACGGTATCCTCCCAAAACGCAGACCCGTTAAAACAACACTTGCATCCGTGATTAGTAGGCTGTACCCTTGATTAAGAAAAATGACATTACCCATGTAACGAGTTTTGACAATGTAGCAAGTGATCCTATATTTCATATTTATGTAATCTGGTGCGATTTAAATATCATTTGTGAATGTCAGCCCAGTGGTTTCAGGGTAAACCATTCTACAACGGACCACATGTTTACACTTCAGGCTATCATACAGAAATATTCATGTAAAAACAGAGTAGATTGTGTTGTCTTTTTATCAATTTTTCAAAAGCTTACACTTAAACATGATATACTTATAGATTCTCTTCGTAAGGTTGGATTAGATGGGAAGCTTTTAGATATTATTACCTGTATGTATAGTTCACTTTGTGACTGTGTAAGAACCCCTGAGGGACTTTCTAAACAATGTTCCTGTAATGTGGGTACCCGTCAGGACGGTACCCGTCAGGAATGCATGGCAACATGAATGAAAGTAAATCTTAAGAAAACAAAAGTGGTTGTTTTCAGAAATGGAGGGCCTCTTAGATGTTATGAAAAGTGGTATTTTAATGGGGAGCAAATAGTATCTTTTTATAAATATCTTGGCATTATATTTACACCAAAACTTGTTAGTTCTCGAGTTTTTTGTAAAGCAATGACTATAATCAAGGACTCTGTACATCATGTAAATCTAAAGGTCTAACCTATTTTGAAGATGAATTCCATGTACTGTTCATTTGTGAATCCTATTCACAACTCAGAGATAGGTATATTACAAAATTTGTTAAAAAGCCTAACACTGTATATTCTTTAGCAAATCTTTTCAAGAATACTATTGTAGACACTGTAAAATCTGTTGCCTTGTATCTAATTTACTTTAAAATGATTATTGTAAACACACTTGAAAGATCATTGTGCCCCTGACGACACTGGAATTTCTTTTTGAATGTATTTTGGGCCTACAGCCTTTACTGGAGATAAACTCTGTCTGTCTGCCTGTCTGTCTGTCTGTCTGTCAATACTATTTCAAAGTTGTTACCAATGAAATTTCATTTATACACTTTATCACACTCGGTGTCAATCATGCTTTGTTCATCAGTCACAATCTTCCTAACAACAATATCAATCATTCCTAGTTTATCAGTCATCAAGAGCAGATTAAAGAGAGAAGCTGTATTTTAAGACAATGCCTCAGTGACGCAACATAGCGGGAATCCCTTACAGTAGGGGAGTGGACCAGGCCAGGAAGGTCTGCGTTTTGGGAGGTCTGCGTTTTGGGAGTAAACCCCCTTCTACATGGCCACATGTAACCTCATTAATTAATGTTCGATAATAGAGTTCGATCCCTATGTATCTCTGCCCTTCCCAAACATCGTAAATAATGTATAATGTTTGTTATATTTTTTAAAATACAGCAATAACTAATAAAAGCTGATAATTTTAATGAAATTGTCGCGTTGTCGCATTTTTGTTAAAAAACTAAGCATTCCATACATTATATAATACCGCCTAGGATTCATTTTGAGCCACGTCAAAAATGGATATTCTCTCTCGTTTGCTTGACAGTTTCAGAAAAAAACATCCCACCAATATTTCTCTGGAAACTCCTAACGTTCACTGTTTTGTCGCGTGGTCTGCTTGTGCATTGTATGAACGACCCCAGTATCAACAAGGGAGATTTGTTGCTCCCGTATATTCATGTCAACAATCGTGAGTTGAATTCTGTCAAAAACTGGAGCAAGCATTCCGTAAGATGACAGTTTGTAAAGAGTAATGGAACCATTCTATTAGATTTTAACCTTTCTGTAATACATTCGACCCACGAACGGGGCCCGACAGCAGGGGAGCAATTGGAATGATAAGAAACATGTTTTCAAAGTCGATGGGTGACCACTTGAGTCCGAATACCGTTCAGCTAGGTATTCATGTTCTCCAACCAATAAACAATACGAGTCCAGTCTGGTCTAGTGTATGTAGTTCGCCGTTTCATCTGAGCCTTTCATTAGCTTGTTGGCGTTAAAACTGCTGTAAACAATGGCAGGATAAAAAATAAGATCCTCAGTCGACTGGGCTTTCGTGCGGTAGATATCTGACTTTAGAATACACGTACAGTGCCTTTCAATCATGAGATAATCATATACATCAACACTTACACTCATCATAGTCACAGTGGATGCCCTTCCATTTTCCATGTTTAGGATCTGTTCACTTTAAACAGATGCTAACATTTAATGCTGTTACGAAATCCACCTACCCTTGAACTTGATCTGTTCATATTCAAGACTTGTTAATGTGGAAACATGTAATATGCTGTCCTGCTATATGTAGAATAACTTCCAAGATGTTGGCATATATCTTCACAGGACTCGTTCAGTATTCCCTGTATATGCTTTTACCCAGGTAACACGCCACAAATGTAATATTAGTACTAAATAATGGGAACGAACATCTGAACGTTATTGGTAAAATCTATGATCTATGGGATTTATGAGTCATTGAAGTTATGCTTAAGACATGTCCCATTTGGTATGGTAGTTCTCGGGACTGTTTATTAGTTGTCTTATTCAAGCCCGGATATGCATGGCATTTGCGAGACGGTTGACCGCAATGATGACAGGGAGACTTGTTTCTATGAAGGCAATGGGACTTTCAAATGGACAATTATCAATAACATGTCATATTTGCTCTTAGTGTGTAACGAACACACCGGAATACATTGCTACGACTGGTTTGTTTGTTAGTCTTCAATAGTTTCATTAATATTTGTGTACTTGTGTTATACAGTAGATTAGTCTTCTTGCACAAGAAAGATGAACGTACCTCTGAGCTGTCCTGAGTGGTGAGAGCCATGCTTTCCCATAGTTCCCCGGTATCCGCTCGTTTCATGCTGTCCAAATTTATGCAACTCTCAGAGGTCCCTTCTGTCATCCTGTCACAAACAGACATCATGTTTGACAGGTCGAGATATATTACCTCCTTTGCGCTAGGTTGAACATATATATGTGCATGTGTATGTTTAAGTATATTTTATGTATGTAAATGTCATACACTTATCCGTTCTCTGTAAATTTCGGCCTAATGTGGCACATAACTGATATCTCAAACTCATTAACATGAACTAAATTATATGCTGATGTATTCACAACTGAAGCGATTCTTGCGTACATCACACCTTATCATATATATTTTTCAGATACTTGAGCAATTCAGTAGTAATGATGAATATGTCACGTCCTCCAGTATTGTGCTGTCAGATGCTGATGGCCGTTATCTTGCACCACTCACTGCCGTAACAGCTTGTCTACAGATTCGGTTTGTACATGCAGCGGTCAATAGATGGCCACCCACTGACCACTGTTACTGTATTCACTCAAGTGTAGTTTACGAACCTCTCTTGCTCATTGTGTTTTATAAAGTACCGCCATCATATACACGGGCTACTAGGCAAAGCATCGTAACCTCAACTCACTATTCAAAAGGTAACCCTTATCACTGATTCATGTTCCGCCTCGCCATTCTGCATCAATTACCCGTATATGCATCGGCTACCAGATTACTGGCGATACGATCAAGGCCTCCGACACATCAGTTACACCTAACAAGTTCACCTCACCTCAGAAAGCACAAACTTCAAGTCTCTTCCCTCAGAAGTGACTGAAGTCAACATCAACCATATTTATCATGCAAATTTAGGAAAGATAACAAACAGAGAAGCGTGTTCTGTGTGGCAAAGTCTGTCATGCCTGACACTTCAGTGAGTGAGTTAAGATTTACAGTCACAGCGGCAATATTTCAGCCATATCGTGACTAAAACAAGTTTAAATTCACCATAAATGCATGTAAAAACAGGTTATAGATTGCCAACAACTGAAGGTAGATCACCATACTAGGGACCATGGGGAATTACAGAACATTTGCTAGCTGGATTTACACCATCCCTTCAGCCGTTAGCAATTTAGATAAATCTACCCATACATTAAAAGCACACATATTCTACGACTACAAAGTGGCAAGATTAAATATACTTTGAATGTTTTGGGACTTACGTATCCTCTCAGGAGGACAATAATTTTCAAATACTTTAACCCCCTTTGAGGATACGGTTACTAAAACTGAGTTATTTCCAGGTATAGACATAGATCCGCGATACTTTACACTCTGCCGAATGCCTCATTTTCATCATTTCCTTCCAATACCACACAACCATGTTGGGTGTTTTACCACACAAATATAAATACACCTTTCACACCAACCACCAACCACAATACGACCAACATACTCACCATGGGATCACACTTACCAACACTCTCACAACTAGTGACACAGTTACCACGATACGGGTGTCCCCGTCCATGGGTGACACTTTCATAACACTCTCACAACTAGTGACACAGTTACCACGATACGGGTGTCCCCGTCCATGGGTGACACTTTCATAACACTCTCACAACTAGTGACACAGTTACCACGATACGGGAGTCCCCGTCCATGGGATCACACTTACCAACACTCTCACAACTAGTGACACAGTTACCACGATACGGGAGTCCCCGTCCATGGGTGACACTTTCATAACACTCATGCAAACGTTAGAACTACCCTGACAGTGGTTTAAAAATATCTATTTCCAGAAGTGGAACCGGATTGGTATCTCAATAGCGCCCCGCTATACCAGAGACCATATATTATATGGTCTCTGGTTATACAAATACAGTATAAATATAACAATCGTGAAGAGTAAAACATGTAATTAACAAACAAACACTAGTTTTCTGCTTATAATATTACAACTATTAGTGCCAGAAAGTATTAGTTAGTGCAATTTCATTTTAACTACCAACAACACAAATCTGCCTGACAATACAATGGAAGAATGGTCAGATTCTAATATTTCAAGGTTATCTTTAGTAGATCTATTAAAGTGGCTGTATAGTAATGAATTTATGTCACATCCTTTAGCTTAAAAGTACATGCTATTTCTTATAACAGTGTAATTAACGCTTGAAAAGAAATAGTGAATTGGATCTTTGTGACAATAACCACAAGAACAAGAGGGATTTGAAGATATACATCGTTTATATTTATGTGCGTTTAGATCGGTGCATCCGAGCCTGAGGCGTGAATGGATAATCTGACAAAATCTGGATTGAAGTAGTTGTAGAACATTAATTTGTTTCTTAAAAATACCCACGGTAGTAGATTCTCTGTGGTCGGTAGCCAAAGAATTCCACAAGTTTACATTATCTGGGAGAAATGACTTGGCATAATTTGCACTTTTACAATCGATAGTTTGAAGTTTCGAACGGTCTCGGGAAATTGTAGTTTGAAGTGTCAGATACCTTAGAAGGGACGAGATTACTCAAATATGTTTGAGTTAAATTGATATTCATTTTATATCTTCGCGTGCATAGTGGTTTGAAATTTGTCTCACCATACATTTTCGTCAAGTGGTAGTTCCTGCTGTTTGGTAGAGTCGTCCCAAATGTGACAACAATAATCGAAAATAGGCAAATAAATTGTTTGTATATTGTTTGTAGGGTTTTACGTGAGAGACGATATTTAAAGTCTCTAAGACAGTTTACCACGGGTACAACCTTTTTAGCAATACAGTTAACATGGTCTGTCCAGGAACAATCATGCTGTAAAGTAAGTCCCAAATGTTTATGACTATTAACGTCATTAATATTGCTATCCTTCATTACGAAATTTCGCTTTGGGCTGGACTGTACTTTACGAGAAAATTGTATAGAATCTGTTACACTAGGATTAAATGTTACTTGCCATTTGTCAGCTCAATCAGAAATCAGATAATTATTATGACACAGAGCAGTTCCATCAGGATCGTCTATTATAGAATAAAGTGATGAGTCATCTGCGAAGAGACGATATTGCTGTTAACTCATTCAACGATGTCGTTGCTATAAACTATAAACAACAGGGGTCCTAAGACAGAGCCTTGTCGAACCCCGGCAAAGATTGATCTTTGATCAGACGTGCAACTATTTATAACAACTCGCTGAACTCTATTGTCTAGATAACTCTCAGAACATTTCAACAAGTTACCCCCGATACCATAACGCCTTAGCTTATGTATGATAGATTTATGCCAGACCTTGTCAAAAGCCTTACTTGCGTCACAAAATACAGCCTTAATTTCCTTGCCGCTATCTAATGTACCCACTATAAAGTCATACAGGTACGTTAATTGATTTATTGTTGAATCGCCTGGCTTAAAACCGGATTGTAAGTTTCTAAGTATTTTGTTATCCCTAAATGAATTAAATACATGTTTAAACATGCATTTTTCGAAAATCTACCCTGCCATTGAGATACTTTGACAGCTACAGTCCACTTACCTTCGTTCTTACCACTGATCCAGTTTATGTATAAAAACTGCAGCTGTAACGCCCTATTTGTATCCCCAATACTGCCCCTGCGACTCGCTCATGCAAGCTACAGTTACTCCAAACGTGACCACCATTTGCCCACGGGCAACTCACTGAAGCTCATCCCTTCTGTTTTGAAACAATGGCATTTTCTCCATGTCACCCCGTGCTTTACATGATTAAACAATAGATCCGAGCCAAATAGAACGTAAAAGTACAAATCTTTAGCCATATATATATCATAACCCATCTTGTGAGAATATTATGACGATTATTTTCACATATGTTATTGGGTTGACGCGGGTGTAGATGGGGAGGGATGTTTCGCCTATGTTGCTCTGTCCGCAATCACAATTTAATTTATTAATGATTCATTTCGGGTTGTTGTTCCCACAGTATAGAGGCCGTCTCTGATCACATCAAATCAAACCCCAATCACCAAATAGACTAGTCTGACGTCACCATTCTTGCTAACAATCAAACGGACTTCACCAAACGCAAACTAACCGAATCCATTCACATCAAACGCCAAAAGTCCACCATCAACCGAGATCAAGGATACTTCATTCTACCTGTAGAAACATCTCCTCCTTTTCAAACTACCCCTTGATTTGTACAACTCTGGCTTCCAAGCCTTTACCTTTGTAAACACACTGGCTTTAACATCTTACTGCCTAGCCAATTATGTTAATCATGATGTTTTCTTTGTTACATTCAGTATATATATATATACAAGAAGGTGGTGTATCAAACACCACACAACACGAAACATCTGATATACCACTTGTGTCTTACAAAACAAACCTCAGCACCAAACCAAAACACCAGAACTAACAAACAGCAAAACCTTAAATAATGTAACACTTTGCATGTATTCACAAGCAAACATTCACATAAGCCCAGTATAAATCAGTAAGACTCGACCAAGTCACATATCGTCTCGGTAGAGCCAGCGGAGGTTTGATCATATATGTCAAGGAGGACATAAATCACACAGAGATAGACGCAATTACTCCTAACCTAAAACCAGTGGTATCCAAATAACAAACCAAAATGAAACCAGAAACATTGTTAACATATACCACTGGGAAAATACACCCAATACAATACAACACCCTAAAAACGATCACATGTACACAGCGAGGAACGTCACTAATCTCATTGCAAGCAATAACAGGCGAAATACCATCAGAACTTAGACGAGAACAGTTAACCATAACCTTCTGGGCATTTACCCAAACAAACCCCTCAGCCAAACTCATAAAAACAATTATAGACCCCAAAGTCCACGCGCTTGTCCGCAAAAACCCACTCCTGACCACAATATCGTAACAAACCTCATAACTGAACACACCTAAATAGGCTAAACAAAACAGCAACACTTTCAGTATCTTCACCCCTAAACTAAACATTCTCCGAAATAAATAGACAAACAAACCCTAACAATGCGCAAAACACAACAAT